GTTTTATTTATTCAAAAACATCTCAAATCACTAACCAGAATATCAAACAGAATCTAAACTCTCTATTAAGATTGTTCTTTACGGCTCTAGCGATTGTTAAATAATTTATTATTTTCAAAGTAAACATACAATTTACCAAATGCAAAAAAGTCTTTCAAAGCTAACTTCTGAATTACTTCACCTTTTTCCGAATTACTTTGAAAATATATAAAATAGAAGTTGAAAAATTAGAATATATTGTTTATATTGTTCAACAATCGGTTTTGGTGGCCAACAATTGGTTTAAAGTCAGGCGATGCAAATTTTACATATGAAATATGTGGTGTAACTGATGCCGATCATTCCATAAAATAGAAAGCCCGCTATGTTGGGTTACATGTATCAAAATCAGATTATCTATTACTAATATACACATTATTTTTTTAAAAAAAAAAAATTTCAAAATTTGAAAATGGCATCATTCAAAAAATATAGAAAAAGAGAAGATAAAATAATTGAAACAAGTGTTTATCATAAGAATGGTGGTTGTCGTCACTCTAGTTTATAATAATAAACAACACTAAAAATATTATTTATTTTAAACATCCTAGTGATTCCTTCTTGTCTCCACTACAAGTAAGTTTATCGTATTACTTCAATGGATAAGACAGATTATTTTAATTTTAGCGAGTTTAGTTTTTGATTATAAGATCTAAAACTAATACCAATTCCATAAAGTTTCTCAGGGAAAGTACCATCTCAAAACTAAGCGAAATATATGAAATTGACCAATCCACCATAATAAATGTCTTGGAAAGAAATAGTGATCTTCTAGATGACTTGAATAATTCATTTACAAATATTACAAAAACCTTAGATGGTTACTTTGAAAATTTAGATGATGATAGCAATAACAATAAAAATAACAACAATAATGACAACGATGATAATGACAATGAAAACAGATCACAACCACCACTGTAAAGACTAGTGCTGTAAATTATGATGATGGTAGTAATTGTGTTTACGGCATATAAAAAGTGGTTGCAATTACCTTTGTGACCACTTTTGCAACCATACTTTTTCCTTTTTTGGATTATGACACTAGTCTTTACACCACTGGAATCAATAACAATAACAACATCACCAAATTCAGGTATTAATTTTGAAGAAATTATAGAACTGCCACCACCATCACCACTGATAACAATAATATCATCATCAAACTCAAACGACAATTCTGAAGAAAGTATACAAACGTCATCACCACCACCTGTATTGATGACAACAACATCATCATCATCAAATAATAAAAAAAGAACGCTAAGCCCTACTCCAACTCCATTGATGCGAAAATATAATCTTTGAAATAGAATAACTATAAATTATAATTGTGGGCATCCATTAAGAAAAGGTTGTAAGAATAAATCTGTAAGTATAAATTAAGTGATCATGTCTCTGAAGGAAAAAATTTATTTAGTTAATGTGATTTATTTTTTATCTATAGTCATTGTCATCATCCCCATCATCATCTCCTCATTCACCACAAACACAATTGTCCATATCATCACCTCCTAGTGTAGATTATAATTCTTATGAAGAGGAAGCATTGATGGATCTACCAAGAAAGAGAAAATGCTCGGAACTATGTCTTGTTCATTGTAAAACAAAATGATTGAGATTGTTTATTCTTTATCTATAACATTATAATAAATTGAAAGAATTTTTAGCAGCAAAAATAAAAAGGTTAATATTAATGTATTTATTGATCATGTAAATTATCCGATGTATGTGATAAGATTTATTATGATTGCCTATAGTGAATAAATTAATTCCATTCATGATCCAAAATTGCTAATTTATTGATAGCATGATCTATAAAACTGCTAACATTATAAAACAAGACAGGACTGATAGGAAAGGTTTGAAAAATTCTTATCACTATGTCTGATAATATCTGGTGAAGATATGTTCTTTTCTCTAAATTCACCTCATGTCTCAAAACACTTGCATTAAACATTCTTAGAAATCGATCTCTAGAAAAAATATTAATATTCCTGAACTAAAACATGCTTGTGCATTTTAAAAAGGGGGGAAAAAAACCATAATATTTGTTAATTTTTTTTTATGATGATCTTATTTATATCTATGTGTTGTGATACATGACTCAGCACCAGGGTAGACTTTCCTCTAGTGCAAACAAGAGGAAAAAAAAAAAAACTACTGAAGAAGTTGGGCATCAAAAAGAAAACATATGCCTATAACAATCTCACAAAAAAATATAAATGTGCATTGAAAAAAATAAAGACCAAACATAAAAAATAACCAGCTTGCATCTAAATATAATGTCAGTGAATCTACTGTTTCTGACATTCTAAAAAAGAGCGATTGTTTTTTATCATTGAATCCAAATCAATTCACTGCCAGAAAATGGATAAAGGAAATTCTAAATCCTAAATTTTTAGATTTATTACCCCGCTTATCCGAATTAATTTATGACTCTAATAATAACTTTGGATTATAAAAAACCCAGTTAATCTGAAGAAAAGTTCCTGCACAATTGCCTTTGGTTTAAGGGGTTGCCTATGTATTTACATTATGTGTTATGGATTTTGACAATGAATTATTGTATGCATTAAGCATGACTTATATTTTGTCATTTATAAAAGTCCTTCTATTTGCTATCTAACATCTGTTGGAATCATAACTACTGAGATGAGAATTTAAATCTCTTCAACATTTTCCCATCAATGCCTGTCCTTTCTATTGCTTCTTCCAAACTGTTGAATGGTCTTTTACTAATAATTTTTTCAGCACACTCCATACCTATTCCCTCAATCAACTGTAGGTGCAAGTATGTTGCACTGTTAATATCTGGTGGACTATCCTGTGAAAATATAAAGGCTCGAGCAGCAAATGGCCCAAAATATTTTCCCCAATTCTGACCATGTATAATACCTGAGTTTGGTGGAAGATTATCATCCCAATTACAATTTTTTTGAGTTGTAAAAGCAAGGAAAAAATTGTCAGTTGATGCAGCTTTATAACATTCATCCTGACAGCTATCTAGAGTGAAATTGCTCTTTTGCAGATGCTTGTATTGGTGTACTTCATTTAGAGTATGTCCTGGACAGGCCAGACAAACAAAGCCATCTCCAGCAGGTGCTGAAGCACAATTGAGGATAAACTTTTGACAATCTCGAGCATTAACAATATCATGAGTACATGTGATAAACCATTCCTTCATGTTGTCTGATGTTGAATGGGTATCAATCTGCTTAGTTGCAGTGCGGAATCCAAGATGATAATTCACAAATCGAAACTCAACATTCAATACAGCCCTTGTATGCATTTCACTAATGTTTACATGCTCACCTTCATTAAAAATCCGGGATTTAATGCAACGAAATCTAGCAACAAAGTCTTCAAAATTCTGCCAGAATTGAGCACCAGGAGGTGTTTCTGGACCTACCTGTAATTTGGACCTTTGTTCAATATAGTCATCGAATCTCCAATGTTGAAGGATATAATCACTTTTTTCATCTGACCTTTGTTCTGACAGAATCCAAATCCAGATGTATGGTGCAGAAAGGTATCTTTCTCCCAGTTCACCAATTTTATGGAACTGGATCAAGCCAGGCTGTACCAACTGTTCAGGAGTCTTCCTTACAATATTTGAAATATATTGATCATGTCGCAGCTTCTTATGAGTGAGAATTACTCTTGCAATATCCTGAGCCACATCAGAACTAAGATTACCAAGCATTTCTTTGTATCTGTCAGCAAGGATTAAATTGCATCACAGAAACTAGGATTCATATTTGTGATATTTGAATCACCAATTGTATCTTTAAGTGCTTCCATTGCTCTAGCATTGCCACCACAATCACTAATGAGAATTTTTACAAGAGTGTCATCTTCAGAAAATACTGCCCTTGACTGAATTTGTGGAGGTCAGATCAAGACATTTTTGATGTGAGCTAGCCAGAAAGGAAGTAATGGGAGTAAAAACGGTTGCTGTGATGCATGGAAGACAGAAAACTCCTCTCATTGCAAGATCCCCTATATTTGTTAGTGTCCGGTAAAAATCACTGTTTTTGTCTGTTCCATTTGCTTGTTCAGACATTAATTGGTGTAAGCCATCCACTACCAGAAAAATAGTGCAGTCTTCTAATTTTTTCTTATAATGTTTAGCAACTAATTCAAAAACATCATATGGATAGGGTGCCTCATAATTGGTAATTATAGCTTCCAAACTTTGAGCCAGACATTGACAAAGCATCCTAGTACCAATAGCAGTGGATCCTTTCTCACCAGTTATCAATGACCAACCATTTTCAAGGCTGACACAAAAAATCCAAGCATTAGCTATCTTTGTTCTTAGTTCTGTATGTTCTTGTGATAATGAATTCAAAACAGATGTATGAAACTCATTCGCGTTTCGCGATTTGCCACTACCAGCTCCAGCTAGAAATAAATAGGTTGGCATATGAACTTTGTCCCATTGATTTTCACAGTAATGTTCGTAATGGTCAGGAACTTCTCTTGCAAGAATTGTTCGTAAATCATCATTCAATTGGAAATCCCAGCTAGCACCAGATGAAGTGAGCAACTGAGGTGGCTCTCCTATTGGTAAACCATCTGGAAAAGCTTCCTTAATTGTTTGCTTCCCTGATAAATAGAATGAATTTTTTGTATATTTCAATATGTCATTGATAGTGCAAAAAAAAAAAAAAGAAACAAAGACAAAACAGTAATATGTATGTCACTCAAATGAATAAATAAATAAACGAAATGGAATGAATGAAAAATAATTTTTTGTATATTTTTTTATGCAATTTGTTCATTACCTTTTTCTCCACTTAATTTTTTTTGCAAGTATATTACTTGCTCTCTCCAATCGTCTACAATTTTATACAACTTCTCTTTTTCCTCCAGCCTCATCTTCTTTGCCTTTTCCACTTCACTAAGGTTGCAACTTTTCATCTTATCCCTCAACTCATTCAACCACTTTCCATTGTTACTTTCTCCTTCTTCGAACTTTTTCAATTCTGCTTCTGCCGCCTCGAGTTTTCTTTCTGCCTTTTCTAACACTTGTTCAATTCTTTCGAAGGTTGCCATTTCTTATTGAATTTAATTGTTTTGGACCAATGATAAATTAGTGGGCACATGACTTGGAATTTATTTTTATGGAAATGATTAAACAACAAAAAGGGCTCAGGGCTGGCAGTGTAAAGGGGTTAAAAGCCTAATTTAGTAACAATCATCTTGACTAAATATATGACTAAATAGTTTAGTCAGTTTAGCCAAGTGCTTATTTGAGTTATGCAGCCAACCCTGATTGGCAGTAAATTTCTTGCATTTTTAAAAATGGCAACTTTTCCACAATTTCTAACATATTTAAAACATTTATTATTTATTTATTATGTGGTAACTTTGATACTGATTATTATTATTATTATTATGAATCTAAGGTACAAGACATTATAAAATAAAAAATAAAAAAGATTTATCTTGGAATCCAATTCTGTCTGTTACTTCATTTAACAATCTTGTACCAAAATTTTGAAAGTAAAATTTCCAACAAGCCAAGTCAGGCTTACATATAAATTTATTAAGAAGGTCACAACCCATCTATTTTTTTTATTATAATTGAGCCATACACAAGCCAATTTTTGGATTTTAAATGAAGGTAATATTGAAAATTAAAATCAATCATTATCATACCAATACTGTAAATGTCTGATTCTTTTGTATATGGTTTTCTTGACAATACTTCAGGTGCTAGGTATGGAATAACCCAAAAATTTTATTTGGTTTATTTTTTTCATTCATCATTTGTTGACATAATCCTAAATCTCCTATCCTGTCATTACCAAGACTGTATGAAAAAATATTGCCACTGTGAAGGTCATGATGAATGTAATTTTTTTCATGAATATCCCATAATCTAATTCATATTGGTAACAAAAAAAAAAATATTTTATTATATATAAACAATGAAGTCTAATAATAAAATTTAAAAACTTACCCCCTTGTAATATTAGCTAGTGAATAACATTTCTTAAACCAATTAAATTCTTTGAAATGTTTATGTTTTGATAAATGATTATGCAAATCACCATACCTAGCATAGAGAAATACCAACAGATAATCATTCTCTTTAGGATCTTTAGTAATTCCATAACAATGGCTAACCCACAATTTAAGTTCATCATGTGCTTTTAACTAAAAAAAATTATTATAAAATATATTTAATAATATTAAAAATTTTACCTCTTTTAAAATATCTGAAATATTATTATTAGAATTATATAATCTTTTTAATACAACATCCATTGGTCTAAAAAAAATATTGCTAAACCATGTTGCTTTATAAACTTCTCCGAAACCACCTTTAGCCAAGTATTCAATATTATTAAATTCATTATATGGAATCCAAAATATATTTTTAGAATATTGTGGATCTTGTTTACATTCATAAAAAAATCTTGTTATTTCTTTATTTCCACATTTATCAGTTAATCTTTCAATTTTTTTTTCTTTACAACCATCACATAATAAAACTTTTTCATCAATACTAATAAATACTCTACTTAATTCATAGGCTTTACCTGGATCTGACCACCACTTAGTTATTGATGATCTAGATTTTTTTATTTCATTTATTGATTCATAAAAAAAACTAGAATAATTTTTTCCCATTAATTCTTTGCAATTGATACAGTCATCCATTAATTCTAATGAATCAATTAATTCATTAAATATAGTACTAATGTGTTTTTGATAACTGACTAGTTCATCATATCCAAATTCAGTTACTGGCACTAGTGACATTATCATGCCGAATGATTCATCTAATGAGCTGTATAATGTATTTATATCTGCATCCATTTCTCAAATTTTTTGGAAATGCACAGCATAAAACAAATATTTGTGTCAAACAACATTTTTAGAAAGTTTTTTTATAAATAATATATACATAATATTAATAACAATAAATCATCTTTCCACTTTACCTATTAAATGTATTGGAATATTTACCAAATCACAATTAATGTTTATGAATATTGCTATCCATCGATCTGATTCTGCTGAATGATTCAGCTTGCTGAATTGATTCATTCAGTAAGTAGGTAGAAATGGGGGTCCGAGGCAAAATCGATTTAGGCCACGCTCGAAAGTGGCACATTTCATTTTTTAGGCATGCCGCCTAGTAGCTATCTAGTTTGATAATTTCGAGCGTCTAGAGATCCTTAGTTTGCATGTGGCATGATACAAATTTCTCGTCATATGCGAAGATATATAGGTTACCCACATCTCTCCACAATTCTTGTCTTATGAGCCGAGTAAATCGAGAGTCTCCCGAAGCTCACGTATGTTTTTTTGAGACCTAAATCCGAGGATTGCAGGTCGTTTTCATGCACACTAAACATATTTGCTAATGACGTAAGCTATTTGAAAGCAAAGATATCCTGAGTACATTATGTAATTTTATCACTAATAAAATTTATAGTATATTTAATTTTTATGCTTATTTACAAGTAGCTGTTTATGGAAGTCGTTTTTTGTAGCTAACAAAGTGAGTTTTTTTTTCCCCGAGTAACTCGTAATATTTTTATTTTGCGTTTTTTTTTAAAAAAAAAAAAAAATGCTTTTATTAAATAACGTTCGTAGGATACATGGAGTCTAATTTTATATCGTGGCGTAGAAGCTATTACCAACGATGGCTTGATTAACAATGTTGTGTTGATGGGTAAAAATTGAAACTATCTTTTTTTTATTATAAATGAAATGAAATGGAGATTTAGAATTGACCAAAAAAAATTAATTTTCAAAAAGTGCATTTTTAGCAGGGTTGCTCACTGCATTATTTAGACCATTATATTTCCACTAAGGTTCAATGTTGATGAAAGATTTACACCGTTAATAGTTTTTATAGCGTTTATAGTTGGATCTATTTAATAGGCTCAGTATTAAATAATGGTACTACAACAACTTTTGTGTGTTTAGCGGAAGTCCCAGAAGCAGTAGTAAGAACTAAACCCGAATTATATATGAACGGGTAATTATTTCAAGATCTTATTTTAAAATGTTTACAATCATTAGAAGTTAACTTTGTCTTGTTAGTAATGTATATTAATATCCTAATTAAATCCATTGCGAAGATGAAAGGAATTTCATTGGTTGTTCTTTTTAAAAAAAAAATGATAATTATTTGTTCCAGATTAAATCAATTAGCTAAAATTGGCAATATTTTACATTTCGAAATGGATGTACAGAAATTTATGAATGAATGTATGTATTCAAGCTTTAATATATCGAGTTTAATTAATTAATTAGTTAATTGATTGATTGAATTTAATTATCCAAATTTAGCTATTACGTGGAAATGCAATAGAGTATAAAAAAATGATATTTTAATTCACGCTTTTTTCATAATGATCATTTATTTTCCTTCTCGCCACTATTCACACATTTGCTACTAATAAATTAGCCATCAACCATCCCTTAATTTATCACTAAACACCATTTTGCAATTAATAATAATTAAAAATATAAACAAAAAACTAAACCATTCTTTTTTAAATATAAACACACTAAAAATAAAAAATGAACCAAAACATTTGGTGGAATGAAAAATGTTGTATTAAAAGATTATATAATTCTAGTAATAAATTTTTAAAAGAGGTAACCTTTTAATTTGGTATAGTATAACATCTATTATGATTAAATGTTAAATATTAATAACAAATATTATTTTGT